ATTACTGATTCAAAATCATTATCAGCTGCTTAGAGTAAATCATTGTATCTATTGTTTCAAAAACCAACCTCAGGATTATTAAAAGTTAGTTTTATTGGATTTTTCTTTAAGCTGGGCTGGTTCACTCAGGTCTGTCACTTCCAAGCCCATGTTTTACTACTTTGTAACCCTATTTGGAAGGAAAACTGCAGCTAAGGTTATGATCCATCCTGAGATGAAAAGTTTCACACATATACATGACACATACCCCCACCACAGTATGATGACACAGCAACCCAGCCTTGGGCAAATGGTACCACTGCCAGCAAATGCATTTTTTTCTTTATTCTAAATTTTTTTTCTTTATTTCTTTTAACGGCAGCAAATGCATTTAACATTTTATGGAGATTCTCAACAGCTGCCATTTGATTTGCATAGCAAATTGTTTACAAAGTAACGTTTTTCTATTTTTGATATTTTAATGAAAATTATGTTCTTCAGTTTTAAAGCCCCGTCCCTCTCCCAGAGAAAGATTAATAACTAACTACCAAGTAATGATTATTTAGGAAAAGAACAAAAGCAAAAACAGCTTTTAAACACTTCTGGAACATGGGTAAGGGTCCAAAGTCAAGACCTTCTGGGCCCAGTGGAGGTGCCAGGCTGCCTCAGGACACCATCAGCATTTCCCCATCCACAACATCCTCAACAGCAGGGAGCCATGCGCGGACCCTGGGGGCTTCCTGTTCCATAAGCTCCCCTCTCTTTTTCCTCTCCACCCTTGCTGTTGGGCCTGCCCTCCAAATCTACCTAGCAAAGGCAGCAGGGTCTTTAATACTGTTCGGCTTTGTCAGTGGGGAAAGGGTACTCTAGAAAGCTGAGAGATTCCCTGGTCCAGTCTGGGGGAGGAAAAAATATGCAGTGTACCATAGATGATTTCACTTGTCCACTCAGACACATGCTCATACTTATTCGATGGATGTATCAGATGCTTCAAAAGTCCTGATGTGTAGTAGTAGAACAAAAATTGCTTGTAAAAAAGAAGTTGCAAAATAATAAAAATGTCTGCAGCAGTTCAGGCTCCTGATGACAAAGCTGGTTCTGGTAAGTAGTTATTTTGACATGCACAGCAGCTTTCCCTAGAAGTCCTGTGTTCCAAGGGGTTCGTTTAGATCACAGGAAATTGAAATCGAAGTTTAAAAGGCTCTCTGCTGACAAAATGTGGTATATCCATCAATGGACTTCTACTCAGTAATGAAAGGAACAAATTACCAAAACCTGTCATATGTCATGGACTAACCTCTAAAACATTAGCTAAGTAAAAAAGCCAGACAGGAGAGCATGTATTGCATAATTCCATTGATTTGAAATGTCCAACAACGGCAAGTTGATAGAGACAGAAATGGTCTGATTTACCTCAAGAGGTAGGGATTCAAGCTCTCTAGAGTACATATGATACATACCTGAGAAAAAAGAAGGAAAAGAAAAGAAATTTAAACATAAGTAAATGAAATAATACTTCTCCCTGAATATAAAGAAAATCACATTCTTTTTGTAATAATTCGGAAGACAAAATATGAAGAAAAGTCTTTAATTTTGCCACTCAAAACATTCTGGTTTGTTGCTTTTTATATTTCTTTATGCGTATAAAGATTTTTAAAAGTAGAATCATAATATACAGTCTTTTGTCACTATGTTTTGGGCATATCTCTATGGCAGTAAATATATCCTCGGCATCATCTGTTTTAAAAGCTCGATGTATATTAAGTTAATCATTGCCACCCCTGAAGTAAGTTGTCTTTTATATATATATATATATTTTAATGGACTCGAGCAAGCATTTTTGGACTGAATTCATAGAAGTAGAATTTCTGGAGGAAAATAACATAAAACAGTTTGAGGATTATTAAGAAAATTTCAAATTATCCTGCAGAAAAATTGGTTCAGTTTATACTGCCACCAACAGGAGCAGAGCTCCAGTTTCCCCCTTCCATTTGCCCTCTTTGCTGGTATTTAAGCAGAAAATCTCATTGTTTTCATTACATTTCTTTGGTTTCTAGTGCTTTCAATTTTTCTTTTCTTTCTTTTTTTTTTTCTTTTTTAGATGGAGTCTTGCTCTATTGCCCAGGCTGGAGTGCAACAGTGTGATCTTGGCTCACTGCAACCTGCATCTCCTGAGTTCAAGCCATTCTCCTGCCTCAGCCTCCCAAGTAAATGAAATTACGGGTGCCCACCACCATGCCTGGCTAATTTTTATATTTTTTAGTAGAGACAGGGTTTCACCATGTTGGTCAAGCCAGTCTTGAACTCCTGACCTCAGGTGATCCACCCGCCTCAGCCTCCTAGTGTTGGGATTACAGGCGTGAGCCACCGCACCAGCCTTGAATCTTTTTTATATGCTTATTGGCCATTTTTATTCCTGTGGAAAGTGCCTGTTTTCCATTGCCTATTTACTGGCCAACCTCCAAAGTCACATTTCACTTAATTTTTATCTTGGTGATTGAAAGCATTTTAACTTAGGGATTTTAATGTAAACAGGAGCTGGACAGACTGCAATTATCTAGATCTTGCTCTGTCACCCAGGCTGGAGTGCAGTGGCATGATCATAGGTACCACAGCCTGGTACCCCTGAGCTGAAGCAATTTCCCTACCTCAGCCTCCCAAGTAGCTAGGACTACAGGTGTGTGCCACCATGCCCAGCTAATTTTTAAAACTTTTTGTCGAGATGTGAATTCGTTATGCTGCCCAGGCTGGTCTTGAACTCCTGACTTAAAGTGATACTACCACCTTGGCTTGCCAAAGTGCCGGGATTACAGGCGTGAACTACTGGTCCCGGCCAAGAGCTCATTTTGTTTGCTAGTGGTGTTCTTGGTATCTTTTCATATTTGAGGCATGGGTGCTAGTGCTGAAGTATTACATTCACCATCCGGGGTTTACAGGACCTTTGTTTTAATATTGAACAGATAGAAGTGTTTAGTTTCGCATTTTTGCAGGTATACAAAATGTGCTTACCAGGCCTCTGCTTTATACCCATTGAAAGCAAGAAATAATACAGTAAAACTTTGCCTGGCTAGAGGCTGTGAAAGAATGGAGTATTCTGGTTTAATTCTATTAACTTGGAAGTATGAAGGTGAAAAGAATCCAAAACTTACATTTCCTGTTGAATGCAATTTGAAAATACAGCCAACGATTCCACTTTTCTTCTCTAGTAAGTTTGGACATTCTGATCTACTTGGTGTTTTATTATAGAACTGCTAGTGTGCCTGTGACTTACATTGTGAAGATACGTTTTTAAAACTTGAGAGGTAAGAGGGTGTAAATCGTATTGTATGAGATCAGGCTGGATGAGAACTGACACTTGTAAATATACTTTTTAGACTGAATCTCTGATTGCCACTTTTTTCTTATTTAACTCATAAAAATAAAACACATTGGATGGAGGGTGGGAGTCGGAAAGAGATTTATGTCTTTTAGTTGTATGTCATTCTTTCATGTCAAGACAGAACATTTGATATCCCTGGCTTTGGATCTACAGAAGGAAACACATTTTTCTACCTGCTGTATGCCAGAGGTTCTTGAACATCTGGAGGGATTACTGCAGCACAGATTGCTGAGCCCTACTCCAGAGTTTCCGATTCACCAGGTCCAGGGTGGGGCCTGAGAATTTGCACTTATAAAAAGTTCTCAGGTTCTGCTAGTGCTGCTAGTCCAGAGACTACATTACTGAGAACCACTCTTGTCTACTAACTGTAAATGGTAGAACTCTAGGAAATAGCTTAGTTTGGTGTGGGAAAAGAAGCTCACAGGTTATGGAGCAAATCATGAAAGATTCAACCCTTGATCCCAGCCTAGTGTGGAATTCAGGTAACAAGCAATACACAGTGACATAACACAGTTCTTGGTTTTCATGACTGTAAGTCATAGCCAAGTATCAAGTGAGAAATTCAGTTTCATTTGCAAGGTTTAGAGAGGCCAGGTGATTCTAGAAAAAGAGGCCTTGTATTTGCTTTAAAATGGAAAAGAGCTTTGAGTGCTTATTAAATTGAAAATTTTGTGTTTTTCTTTATTTTATTTTATTTTTTTGGAGATGGAGTTTCGCTCTGTCACCCAGGCTGGAGTGCAGTGGTCTGATCTTGGCTCAGTGCAACTTCCACCTCCCAGGTTCAAGTGATTCTCCTGCCTCAGCCTCCTGAGTAGCTGGGATTACAGGTACCCACCACCATACCTGGCTAGTTTTTGTATTTTTAGTAGAGATGGGGTTTTACCACTTTGGCCAGGCTGGTCTTGAACTCCTGACCTAAGGTGAGCCACAGCACCCAGCCCAAAAGCTTTGTGTTTTTAAAGATATTAGACATGTTTCTTGTTTAAAAAAAATCTTAATAATGTAGGAGAATAAGAAAAATGTTTTTCCAAAAGAGAGAAATCATTGTGATTATTTTACCTTATTGGAATGTTGGATAATATAGCCTCCTTCATTAATCATCAAACATACTATGGATTTTCCATTTTTATAGGATTTGTGTCTCAGTTGAGGTAATACTGGTAATTATTGTACTCCATCTGAAGATGAAAAATGTAGGCCAAAATCATAGACCATGTATAGAAGCTGGATAATGAAGACAGCACTGAGGAACATGTGGACACACACACAGAGATACACATATGTACAAAGAATAAACACATATATTTTTTGAAGTTTATTTTTAAAGTTTTAAAGCAAAAGCTGGCCCCTCCCCTCTCCTGGAATGGGCAGCCCATCCCATCTCCTGGATTAAGCAGGCCCCACCCCTCTCCACAAGTGGGTGGGGACAGCAGTTGCAGAGGCAGTTTTCCTTGTGATGCCACAGGTTCTTCTGGACACACTGCTGCCTAGCCACACCTCCTTTCCCTTTCATCTTTCTCATTGACCAATGGGCTTGGAGCATTAAGGCCACGCCCCTATTCTGTGTTCTAGTGGGGCCCTGGTTACCCCTCCTCTGGCTCAGTCACACAGCTGCCTGGTAGATAACTGGAGGTGTTTGCTGATGTGGCCCCAACCCTGCCTCCCTCCCGACCCTGTGATGTTAGAAGAAACTTGTCAGAGCAAATTGGGAGCAGCCAAGAAAAAGGTAAAATGAACCAGGTCTTGGCCCCTCAACCCAGCCAGAGATCCCTTCCAATGACCAGACCTCTGCCAGAGTCCATACCACTCCTGAGGCACACTGGGCTGGGTCCTTCCACCCCAGCATCTCTGGGCTCCCCACACCAAAGTCTCAGCAGTCAGCCCCACCCCTTCAGCAAGCAGCCCAGCTCCTGCCCTCTCCAGTCACTCCAGGGTGACTTTGGATGGGTGACTCCTGGGGGTCCCCACTCCATACTCGGCCCTCACATCCTGCCGCCACAAGCCCGACCTCCCTGGGTTCTTTGGGCTCACCTTACCAAGAACCTGGGTCTTGCAGCCCCAACACCCGCCCATTGCCAGTCATCCCTGGGTGACTTTGGGCTGGTGATTCCTGGGGTTCCCTGCTGTAGACTCTGCTCTCCTCTCCTGCTGACCCAAGCCCAACCTCCCTTGGTTCCTTGGGCTGGCATCTCCAAGGAGCTGGGTCCCAGCCCTATGTCCCCCTCCCCCATCATTGATCAGCGACTCAGCCATTGCACTGATGTGGTTCCCCCTACCCTAGGAGGAGTGGAATGTAGTGATGTCACAGTCCCCCTAGGAACTGTCATTACTGCTGCAAGACCGGCCTTTGATCTTACGCTCTGGTTGCAGCACAAATTTCCAGCTGGAAGGGGAATGGGGACTACAGGACCTAGGAGCAACAGGTTTCAGGCTGCCTTACTCCCTTCACATAGACTTTGACAATGTGAAAAGCCTACACTTCACCCATAAGCTCAAAACGTTGACAGTCTCTGGGCGGCAATGGGAGAACGGGTTTGGGTTGGTTTTCTCCCAGGCTTCTACTCTCCAGGGAGACTTTAACATTACTTTCTGAGTTCTCCACCTCATATTCTTTCTCCATGGTTCTGGGACCAGACTGCCCTTCAGTCAGTGATCTCTGAAGTGAGATTTGCTCATCTTCTGTGGAATAGATCTTGGGAAACTGAACTTGACAGCTTGAATCTTCCTCATATCATCTGAACCTGGGTACTTTGAGTGCCACAGGATAAATGTGGGAGATCTTTCTGAAGCATCAGTTTCCCTTGATTCTCTTGAGAGAGAAAAAACATTAATGTACTTAGGGATGACTGTCACATACATTTCTAAGAGTATACCAGACTTCTCTCTGAAATGAGACTTGGGTTGTCCTCTTTCTGATAAATTCCCAGATTTAACAAAAAAGCTGCCTTCTGCCATGAGGACACGTTGACATAAAGTTTGAGAGGTACTGGTGTACTTCTTCACACTAATAGATGTCTGAGGATGTATGACTAAACCACATAGCGTACAGTTCCTGCCTACTTAATGTTTACTTTTCTACCTCTGCTTCTGGTTTTGGTCCCTGGAAGCTGCTGAATCGTGGCAAAATCCCAGAGCTTGGAGTCAGAAGACTGAATTTAAGTTCCATTATTGCCACCCCCCGACTTTTTTTTTAGCCATAATATCAATCCCTCTCAGTCACTAAGTGATTGTGACAACACCTTGTACAGTTGTTGGTGGCATTAAATCAGATGGTGCATAAGTTTTTTTGCAAAAACTGTAAAGGAGGATGTGGCTGTAGGGGCTGGTAGTCCTCATGAGTATGACTGCTCTTCTTTCCCACAGCTAAAAGACTATCAGCAGAGGAACAGCCCTGGTGTTCTGGCAGGAGCGAAGATGAAAAAGAAAAAAACTGGCAGTAGCCCTGAGAAAACCACTTCTGGTGGTTGCCACTCACCTGGGGATGTGAGTCTTGGCTGGCCAGGCTCCTGGGGACAGGGGGTCCAAGGGGCAGTAGAGGGTAATTGTTGAGATTGTTGGGTACTGGTTAAGAATTTTGGGTTTGAATCCTCCCTCTCCATCTGCTAGGAATCTGATTTATGGCAAATTGCTTGAGCTCTTTGGGCCTCTCTTTTCACATCTGTAAAATAGGGGTAGTATTGTTTGATTTCCATTTGTGAAGTTTAAATGAGATTTCTTATTGTTTTTATGTTAATCCTTAGTACATGGCCTGCTGTAAACAACCAGGACACCCAGGAAATGGTCATTGCTGTTTGATTTTCCTCATCCCCAGTCTCAAGGGGAACCTGGGCCAATGAGCACAGTCACTTGCCATCAGGCTGTCCCTTTAGGAGTCACCGAAGGGGGCTCCAGTGTGTGGCGAGGAAAACCCCGGGCACTAGGAGTAAGAGAAGATCTAACTTGCCACCAGCTTGCTGGGTGACCACAGAAAAATCACTTCTTCCCCTGGGCCTCAGTTTCCTCCTCTGTAAGATGATACTGCATAAGATCAGTGTCTTTCAAAGTTGTTTTTTAGCTGGAGCCCACTTAGTTCAAGTGAACCCTTACTCAGAAGTCTGGTTTTATTAATGGAGGTGGAGGTCTGGAGCATTACCAGATTCATCGCCCACATCCTGGGCCTGAGGAGAGGGGTCCAGTGAGCATATTAAGAGCTGCGTTGGTCAGGTGACTCCACCCTGTGACTGCATCGCTCAGGGAACTTTTCCATCTATTTGTTCCTGCCTCTGGCAAGGCAGTAGGTGACCATTTGGAAGAATGGCACAGGCCATGGTTTCAATCTCCTCTGCTCTTCCTCAGCATTTCGTTTTCCTGAACCCACATCTTCCTCCTACCCTGACTTTCTTGCTTCTCTCTAAGCCACTTCTGTCTTTGTCCCCCTGCCCTTGTTTTCCCCTTGTCACCTCCTATAGATTCAGGACATTCTGAAGGTGCTGGTGTCCAACCTTAACCATTCCAGTGGGGTAGCGCTCCCCCATTGCACAAGTGGAAGGTGAGGCAGTGCCGAGACCCCTCTCTGGCTTGCTCTCTCCAGCTGTGCATGCCCCTGAGGCTTCTCTGGTTTGGGGGATACTTTGTCTCTGGCTTATTTAATTTTGCTGCCATTAACCTTCAGCCTGTTTATGTCTTCTTCTTCACCTGCTTGATTGATTGGGTTTTTTCCTTCCCTGCATCTTTTATTATCTTGGAAATGGTGAGACATACCTTAAAGTTTAAAAGTAATTTGGGAATAATGTACAGAGCAGACATGTGGGATTTGGGGCTTTATTTTATTTTATTTGAGACAGGGTCTCACTCTGTCACCCAGACTGGAGTGCAGTGGTGTGATCTCGGCTCACTACAACCTCTCCCTCCCAGGTTCAAGCGATTATCTTGCCTTAGCCTCCTGAGTAGCTGGGATTACAGGCACCTGCCACCACATCCGGCTAATCTTTGAATTTTTAGTAGAGATGGGGTTTCACCATGTTGGCCAGGCTGGTCTTGAACTCCTGATCTCAAGTGATCCACCTGCCTCAGCCTCCCAAAGTGCTGGGATTACATACATGAGCCACCATGCCCGGCCCCTTGCTGTTTTTATACTTTCTCTATATCCATAACTGTTTCCCATGTAAGTTTTTTTTTTTTCTTTTTTAATTTCTCATTTCTATTACCCCTGCATCATCTGCTACCCTGAAGGATCTGGATGTAAGAGGCCCTGGGCCGAGGCGCAGTGACCCTGCAGGCCAGTCCTCCAACCTCCTCTCACAGTGGGAGCTGGGTGCCCCTGTACCAGCTGAGACAGCCCACACACACCCCAGCCCTAATGATTGTTCTCTCTACCTCTCCCCGCAATCCTCCTCCTACTCCTCCTCTCTGCATGTGCATCAGAGCCGGAACCAAGAACAAGCAGTAGCCCTGGTCTCAAGCTCCACAACCATCAATCAACTCTATGAAAACACAGAATCATTGGTAAGAGTCCATTGGGGTCCCCTGATTCCACGCTGCCAATCCTGGGCTTTAGTTTCCCCTTGGGGCTCTGAAGAAAGGGGCGGAGGGCCTCTGGTGCCAAGGGCAAGTGGGGAGCTGGAGCACCCAGTCCTCACCTGGGGGGACCCCAGAACAAGGAGCATGCAGCATGGCTCTTCTGTCGCTGTCCTCTTTGCCAACTCTCTCTTCTTCAGACACTCCTGCTCCAGTCCTTGCCACACATGCCCTGGGGTTGTCACCTCTCAGGGAAGTACTAGTCTGACTGGTTGTCAAGGACCCCGTATTTCTGTCCTGACTCAGTCCCTAATTTGCTCCTTGAGTCTGGACAAGCCACCTCTCCTCCTTGGGCTCCTGTTTCTGGAGGAGGTAGAGCATCAAAATCTCTGTTAGTTCTGAGAGTCCGAGATTTAAAGGCCCCTAGAATGGAAACCTGAGGGCCAAGGGCTCCTGTCTGTCCTTTTCTGTCCTGTATCTCTGCTGTGAAGAACTGTACCTGGCTCATACATGCTCGTTAAATGTTTGTCGAATGAACGCATCTTTCTAAATCACAAGCTGGCAGAAGGGTGGGCCTTTCTCAGACTCCGTCTCTAGAGGTTTATGTTACTGTCCTTTTGAGAGAATCCAGATTCAGACTTTGAGTTCTGTGGCTGTGGGCAAAAACCAACAAAGACCCAAATCCTCTGTCTTTGGGAGCTTGAGGAGAGTTGACCAGTTCGTGTTGCCATTGGGTCTGAGAACTTTGCCTTTAAAATCCATTCCTGGCCCCTGTCTATTGCTTCCTCATCTGGGGAATAGAGTTGAGGGGGCCCCCCTCAGTCACATGAATTTGACTCTCCCCACAGAAACAATAGACGAAACAAGTGGAACATCAGCTAGAAGAAGTAACGTGATTTCTTTGCACACAACATGACTGCTGGGTTTGGCGGGCACTCAGATGTGGAGGCACCAGTCTCGTCTCGCCCACTCCCAGCCTGGGGAAGAAGGCTCATCCCTCAGATTCCACCCCATATCCACAGGGTCCCTGATAATCTGGTCCCATGGGTGGGCCTGTGCTGGGGCATTGGTGGCATTCTGGGGGCATGTCTCTTGCTGTGCCATCTCTGCCTCCCCCGGGTAAGAGCTCTGTCTTCCTCTTCCTACAGGAAAAGAAAGCAAACAATGACATACACAAAGCACAGACGGAGCAGTTAGAGGTGAGTGGAGGGTGGGGAGTTTTCTCCTGTCCTCGGGAGAATGTTTCTTTCCTTCTCTTTCAGCACTTGCTTGGCTTTTCTCCCAAACGTTCAATTCAAGACAATCAACATCCTCACGCTGGAAAAGGCAGACTTGAAGACCACCCTTTACCATACTAAGCGTGCCGCCAGACACTTCGAAGGTGGGAATCTGGGCACCCCATCATCCTTCACCCTGGCACTTTGACAGGTCTTTAGGGGGAGTCCTTTGGGCCCCATCTCCACCTCTGTCATTACAGAAGAGTCCAAGGATCTGGCCGGCCGCCTGCAATCCTCCTTACAGCGTATTCAAGAATTGGAGCGGGCTCTCTCTGCTGTGTGTACACAGCAGTGGGAAGAGGACAGGGTGAGTCCAACCAGCTGCCCCGTCCCCTGGCAGCCTGGCTTCCCAGATGGAGGAGTGAGCCTAAAGGTCCTTTCTGCAGGATGCAGTGTCCTGCCCAGAAGGCAGCGTGCTCATTTCTCGCTGCTTTTGTGTGTGGTTGTTAGAGGCAGCCTGGGGCTGAGTCAGCTGCTGTGGGTGAGTTGGGGGCACTGTGGGGAGTGAACACTGGATGCAGAACTCAGAGGCCAAGTGCCTGCCCTGCCCTTACCTGGCTGTAGCCTTGGCCAAGTCCTAGGTGGGGTATTGGGTACTTGTACTGTGAAGGTACAGAAGAGGACCTTTAGTATGTCACCATTTCTGTAGAGAGAGGAGAGGGGGGTGTGTGTGTGTGTATATGTGTGTGTGTGTGTGTGTGTATGTACTATGATAATATACATAAAACATGTCTGTAAGTGTAAGCATTCATTAAAAAACTCAGGAGAGAGTAACAGGGTGGCTGGGAGACACTTCCCTTCTGTACCTTCTGAGTTTTGAACTATGCGAATGTATCCTCTTTCCAAAAAGCGAACAAAAGATTAATTTCCCACTTCCTACCTGTGTCCCCACCCACAACAAGAAAAATGGGCTTAGAGAATTGGGTATACCTGGATGTTCAAATCCCAGCTCTGTCTCAGTGATCTTAGACAAGCACTTAACCTCAAATACTGCATGTTTTTCATGTACACAATAGAGGTAATCCTAGTAACTGTCTCATATGGTGGTTGTGAGGATTAAATGGGATTGTTAGCATGGTACCTGGTGAAGCACTCCATAAAGGTTCAAACAGTGGTAGTAATAACACTAGCAATATTATCTGATCTCTCTGGGCCTCCGTTAGCCAGCTATAATTCAATCTCTTTCCCGATCCCTTCCAAGTTTACTGAGTTCTTTTAAAAACCAGGCCATGGGCTTGGAAATGCCTTGATCTTTACTGATCAAGTTGTACATTGAGCCTAGCCCTAGCCCTTTTAAGGGGCACTGCCTGGACTGCCCACATCAAAACTTCTCACTCTTCACCATCCAGTCCTCGAGCCGCAGTGAAGCAGTCCTCCAGCGGCAGTTACGGCAGACCAGAAAGGAGCGGGCGCTGCTGAACGCACATGTGACACAGTGAGGCTTTGCAGAGGGAGGGATGTGGAAGGAAGATGACCCCAGGTGGTGAGGACCAGTGACAGCCCTTCCTCACTTCTGTGGCCATTCTTGCAGGTAACAGAGTCACTTAAACAAGTCCAGCTAGAGAGAGATGAATATGCTCAACATATAAAAGGAGAGAGGGCCCGGTGGCAGGAGAGGATGCGGAAAATGTCGGTGGAGGTGAGACCTGACCCTTCAGCCCCCACCTTAGATGGGTCACTGGGTCTTTCTGGGCATCTGTAAAATGGGACTAGTACAGCCAGAGGTGGTCATGGGTCTGGGCTTTGTGGAGGTGGGGGCAGAGAGGGAGATGCTAGCCTGTCCAGCCACCAGCCCCCCTCTCCAGGACCCTTTCCCCCTGTGCTTTGGGCAGGCTCACACATTGAAGGAGGAGAAGAAGCGTGACATACATCGGATACAGGAGCTGGAGAGGAGCATGTCTGAACTCAAAACCCAGATGGGTAAGATGGGGCTGGTGCAACCTGGGAGCAGGACTGGCATCACAGGGCTGTGGGGTGGCTTAGGATGCCCCAGGGAGGTGGGTGAATGGAAGGGCTTTGAGGCAGTGGGAAAGTGATCTGTGCCAGGAGTCAGCAAGTCTTGTCATCTCCATGAGCCTCAGGGTTCCCATCAGCAAAGAGGGAGGAGTGCCCGTTGTCAGCCACCCACAGTGCTCTCTATCTGACATGGCTGGGAAATTGGCTTCCATCGGGTGCGAGGAATCATTAGCAGTGAGGCCAAGTTTGGGAAGCCTGAGAGGAGCTGTGCATCAAGAGTAGGGTTGGTTTTCTGGAGAGGCGGGGGTTGGGGAATCCAGAGGCCCTCATTGTCTGCTTCCTTTCTCAGCTGAGCCCCCATCCCCAGCGCCCCCAGCAGGGCCCTCTGAGGTGGAGCAGCTACAAGATGAGGCCAAACACCTGCGGAAGGAGGTGGAGAGTTTGGTGGGAAAACTCCAATCCCAGGTGGAAAACAATCAGGCCTTGAGTCTCCTGAGCAAGGAGCAAAAGGAGAGGCTTCGGGAGCAGGAGGAGAGGCTCCAGGAGCAGGAGGAGAGGCTGCAAAAGCAGGAGGAGAGGCTGCGAAAGGAGGAGGAGAAGCTGCGAAAGCAGGAGGAGAGGCTGTGGGATCAGGAGGAGAGGCTATGAAAGCAGGAGGAGAGACGCACACTCTCCCAGAACCACAAGCTCGACAGGCAGCTGGCCAAGCCACAGTGTGGCTTCAAGGAGCTGGTAGGTTGCCCCACCTGGGGAGCCTGCCCTCCTCCCTAGCCCTCCAGGTCTTTGTTTCCCCACCTGTAAAATGGGGCAGAGTAACCCTCACATGACATGGTACTGCTAAAGGCACCTGTGAGCCAGAGCTCATCAGGCCCTGCTCTGATGGCTGTGGGGGAGGGGATGATTTTTCTAACCTGCCTCCACCCTTCCGAGTGACGTGGGAGGGAGACACCAAGTTCAGGGTTCTCCAGCTGCAGTGGATGGCCACTGATTGCTTCTTTCTGTCCAGAACAACGAGAACAAGAGCGCTCTGCAGTTGGAGCAGCAAGTAAAGGAGCTGCAGGAGAAGCTGAGCAAGGTGAAGGAGATGGTAACCTCTGCCCCATCCAAGAAGGGCTGGGAGACAGGTACCAGCCTCTGGGGAGGCAAGGTGCCAGGCCAAAGGCAGCTCCAACTGCGGGGCAAGTGACCTTAGCACGCTCCAGGGCAGCCCTGTGTCTGTTTGTTGCCTCCTGCCCTCTGACTTTTAGAGGTGGGTAGCCCTGGACTCCTCCCAGGTCTGGACATCATCATCCCAGCTAGAGGCATGGATTTCCCCAATCACAGGGGAAGAGACAGTGGTATAAGAGGCTTCTTATGCTGGGCATGGTGGCTTATCCCTGTAATCCCAGTACTTTGGGAGGCTGAGGCAGGAGAATCACTTGAAGTCAGGAGTTTGAGACCAGCCTGGCCAACATGGCAAAACCTCATCTCTACTAAAATTACAATGACAAAAAATTAGCCAGGGATGGTGGCACATGCCTGTAATCCCAGCTACTCAGGAGGCTGAGGCATGAGAATCACTTGAGCCTGGGAGGTGGAGGTTGCAGTGAGCTGAGATTGCACCACTGCACTCCAGCCTGGCCCACAGAGTGACGCTCTGTCTCAAAACAAAACAAAAAAGCCTCCTTAGATTCAAACTGGATTCCGGCCTCAGTCCCACTGGTCACCATTGGGCTACTTTTAATCTCTAAGTCTCTGTTTCTTTAGCTTCAAAAGGAAGTTAGCATTTTCCTTGCAGAGGTGCTGAGGATTAAATGAGAGAATACATGGAAAGCATTAGGCTTGTAGCACACTTAGCAGATGGTGGTTGGCTCCTTCTGCTTTTCTACCAGTCTGTGGCCTACAGTTTAAATGGTGGGAAGAAGACATGATATTTGAGGCTGGGGAAGGAGGCATGGGGTTCTAGGCAAGTCTCTAAGGCCTGGAGCAAGAGGCCAGGGGCCTGGGCAGGTGACAGAGCCCCCACAGTGCCCTCACTACCCTATTAATGGGCCGAGAATCTGGAAGCCAGCCACCACGTGCTCTCCTGCCCAGGTTCTTCCTGCAGGTGGAGCTGAAGAGCCAAGAGTGTCAGAGTCTGCAGCAGCAGTGAGACTAGTACCTGGGTCATCCGCAGCAGTACGTGGCCACCTATCAGCAGCTGACCTCCGAGAAGGAGGCGCTGCACAGGCAGTTACCACTGCAGACCCAGCTTATGGACCAACTGCAGCAGCAGGAAACTCGGGGCAAAGCGGTGGCTGAGATGGCCTGCCAAAAGTTGCAGGAGATCCAGGGGAGTGAGTTGCTGAGGACAGGGCCCCCGAAGGGGACGACCTGGCAACCTCTGTGCCTTCTCACTCTGTTTCCCGTCCTGTTAGGAGCACCTAGAAGCTGCCAGCCAGTGGAACCAACAGCTAGAGACCCAGTTGAGCCTCATGGCTCTCCCTGGACAAGGTACAGGAGACCACTCAGGGGAAGAAGAGAGAGCCCCAGGAGGAAGAGGGGACTGTCCGCAGCATAGGATCAAGGAGCTGGAAGAGACCTTTAGGACATCTGGTCATTTTGCCAACCGGGTGTCTGCACTAAGTTCGGCATCAATCTGGTGACCTACTGGGAGCAGGGGGCCACCGGGTTGCCTAAGGATGAGTGAACTGACCCAGATCAGAAAGGGAGCAGTTCAGAACTCCCACACTGACCGGTAGTGGGACTGTGCCTGGGCAATATAGCAAGATCTCGGTTCTTAAAAGGAAAAATAAAGAACAGCAGCTCATTCCCCTCTGGGGAGGGGCTGGCTCAGGGTTACACAGTGAGGGTGGGGACAGAGGTGGGCCCACAGTGCCTCCCTTGTTGGGTTGTCTGAGGACCCCTCTGGCCACCTTCCCACAGGAGATGGAGGAGGTCATCTGGACAGTGAGGAGGAGACGGTGCCTCGGCCTATGCCGAGCATCCCAGAGGACCTGGAGAGCCAGGAAGCCACGGTGAATCTGACTGTCCCTGCCCCACTTTGCCACCTTCCTCCGTGGTCCCTCTCAGGCCCCCTTATGCTCTTGGTTTCCCCGCCTTCTGATTTCTCTGGACCTTCACCCCTTCCGGGAGCCACTGGTCAAGACACCACTTCACCTGTGACCAACAGTGCACTCTCTGAGACCCCAAGGGAAGGGGCTTGTCCACCTCCCTGCCCCACTTTGTTCTGTGATATCCCTACAAGAATACTGCAGCTCTTGCCTTCAACGTGGCATTTTATCAACGCACTGGAGAGTTCCAGGAGGAGCAGGCACGGCTATGTGGGCAGCGGAAGGTGTGAAGGCTGTGCTGCCTGCACCTGGCTCACCTGGTGGCCTCGGCCTGGAAGGAGCCAGAGGCAGAGGCCCCAGCCCCAGGGACTGTGTTTGAGTTTGTGTGTGGGGAGAGCTACCGGGCCCTGAGGGAGGCCATGGAGAAGCTGAAGGTGAGTGAGTCCTGGCATGGGCCAAGAAAAGTGGAGGTGGGGCAGGACAGGTCACTCCCGAGATATGACCAGATTATTTTGGCTCCAGAGTGGCTTTATGGACCTCCGAAAGGAGAAGGTGGACAGGAGGGAGCAGGTGGAGAACCTAAAGCTTGGATTCATCCAGCTCTCTGGAGCAACAGACGGCATGAGTGAGCGGGAGGCCACGGCATGGGCACAGGGAGCTGCAGGGCCATTGGAGGGGCCCCAGCGTCTGAGCCCTGTCCTCTTGCAGGAGAGTACATCACCGTATATGGGAGCCAAGGGGCAGTGCCAAACACGCGGCACCAGGAGATGGAGGATATCATCAGGCTGGACCAGAACGAGGAAGAAATGAAGGTAGGGCATGCAACATCTTTGCGGGGCTGGGGGTCGGCATGGGCACTGGCGCTGGATCCAGAGTGGCAGCTGAGGACCCCTCCATTCAGGTGAATCTACTGGAGCTGCAGAAGCTGCTGTTGACACTTGTGGGTGACCATGAGGGACATGACAAATTCCTCCCTGCTGCCCAGAACCCTGCTGATGAGCCTGCTCCAGGGGCCCCAGCCCCCCAGGAGCTTGGGGCTGCCGAGGAGCAGCCTGGTGAGTGGAGCCCTGAGGCGGGGTGGACAGGCAGGAGCAGGGGAGGCTCACACTGCACTCAGACCCCCACCTGCCTCTCTCCAAAGATTTTTATGAGGTGAGCGTGGTGGACAGTGTGAAGCCTGCACCGGGACAGGCCAGGGAGGGTTCTCCCCATGACAACCCCACTGCACAGAAGATCGTGCAGCTGCTTCCTGTAATGCAGGACACCCAGGAGCACCCAGGCTTGGCCAGCAAACCCTGCATGACATTCTTTTACCGGGCAGCAGAGAACAGGGAGATAAACATCATCATCATCTAAGAGCTGGTCAAGAAATTGAAAAAACAACAACCAAAAGTTATGGGGTTAATCTCCTACACAATTCATTTACTTCATTTGAATGTTAGAGCTCCTCATGTTTATTTATGTTTCTAATTTACAGTTTAAATTTATTTGTAGAAAGTTAAGGGAGAGTGGGTCTTTCCCTGATGTTCACTCTGGCTTCCTTCAACATTTTTGTTTTTAATTTGATAATTGTAGGTCATTAGCTCGCATATCGAGTTTGCCTTTACATGGTGGGAGTTCAAACACACAAAGACCCACTATTTGCACAAAACTATTCTTGCTGGTTTGGAATAGACTGCCATGCTTTTTAAATGTTATTGCAGCATGTATATTCATTACAGAATTCAGATAAAATTTGCTTATGTTCTGCTAGTATGTTTGATCGAATCCTAATCACAGTGAGCTCTTCATTAGCTCAATATGTGGTTTGCCCTCAAGTGCGCACTGTTTCTTACTTTGTAATATGCCACTGTGAGTACTGACATTTAGAGTTGTTTAAAGGCCGAGAACTGGAAACAGATTTTCCCCCTATTTTCTGTGTATTGGGGATGGGAGTAATAACATTTTGGGGAGCTTTTTAAATCTCACAGAAGAGGAAAGTGGCCTGCTCTGGCAGGTGTGTGCAGGATAGAGTGTGTTTCATTTGTTCTGGTGCCAGGAATGAGCACGGTACTATGGTAGTTCCCTTAGGATTTGTATGTGCTCTGGGCTCATGAAGATACAGCAGCATGAACTGCAGCAGTTGTACTCTTTCTCGATGACCTAAAAAAAAGGTATTCTTTCTGAGGAATGAAAGGTTTCCATCATTGACTCTGGATGTGGAAAACCTTTTCCAGCCTAGAGCATTTATATCTACAATACATTTTAAAGTCAGAGTTCATGTTACCTGTTTTAATCACATGACTACATGTCCCAGTACACAAAAGGGCACTGCTTGGCATTCTTCTTAATGTATTTAGTAAAGATCATAAGAAATCCTTTCAGAGTTTAAATGTCCCTGGAACAGGCATACAGGCTGTAGTCAAGAATGAATGCGAGTGAAGGAAAGCTGTGTGACACCTGGCATTCCTCTATGTTCACGGAGCTTCTTTCAGGCTAGAAGACTGATTTTACCATCTAGACCTCTCTGGCTAATACCTATTCTTCAACCACATTGGTTACTCTGAAATAGGAATTTACTTCTTGTCCTTGAATGGAAAATACTTTAAAAATAACAAACATTATCATAAACTAATATATGTGACAGTACTTAGTTGAAACAAAAAGGAGTTTTAGTAGACAGTATTATATTTGAAAATCAAGGAGAAGTTTATGCAACTTAAAATGTTTACAGACTGCAGTACAATCTACTGTTTGTGAAAGTCAAAGTATTATGAGGAAAAGTGTCTATACAATCACAGAGTTATATTTCCTCACAAAGCTCTTTACGAAGAGTGAAATATGTTTTTATACCTCTTGGTATCACTTAGAGGCGTACTTTTTGCCATATTTACGTTCATGTGCCTATACATGATGAATGAATTATTTCAGTCATACATTGCCTAAATTGTAACTTTATGATGCTTGGGAAAGAATCAACAGCTAAAACTTCATGAAGTTTAATGTCTATGTTCGAAAATATGTCACATTATTAGGATGTAGGGAGAGATGTGTGTGCGCTCCCTGGGGTGGGCATTTCTAGTCACTAGATCATCTCCATTTTCAGCATTTGACATCCTCATGATACTTTTATAAATATGACATTAATAGGAGAGCAATAATATGATTTTACAGATGGAATAACAGATTTGCCTGCATTCACTGAAAGAGTGCAAATATCGGGTCCTTGTGACTTCAACTGACTCTTCCAAATTGTATGAATTTATCAATGTATTAGATAAACCCAGTTTCAGAATGATAAAGAAAAACTGTTAGACCAAATAATGTGGCTAATTAACAGTGGTACGATTTCTAGCCTGAGTATTTAAAATGGACTTAAGGTCCTGTTCTTGCCTTCTATTTTGTGAACTTGCCGCTTTTGCATTATTTGAGTTCACTTGAAAGACAGTTACTTTAAGTCCATTTTAAACCCTTGGGCTAGAAATCTTACCACTGTTAATTAGCCACCTTCTTTGGTCTAACAGTTTTTCTTTATCATTCTGAAACTGGGCTTACCTAATACATTGAAAAATTATTTCAAGGAATTTTCATAGTTCAAATCACTTCACTTTTGCCCTGATAAATATAAATGACTAGGAATGTCCTTCAGATCACGTTTAGCATCTGTAACCAATCTGACAATAATGTGCTCATCAGGTACCTATGGGTGAAATCACACACTGGCATGTTGAAGCTGAATGTCAGTCTGGAAAAGAAATGTACTCTATTAACTGAAATACCACTCTTTGTGTAGATATTTTGTCCTATGTTTCCAAAAAAGCTAGAAAGAATGGAAATCCTATGACAATAACTTAAGTCTTCAAAGTGCATACAATCTCTTGCCATACCTCATTCAGCCAAGTATTTGTTCTCTTTCTTATTCAGTATAAGGCAGCTTTCAATTTGCTTAGAAGGCAACATTAGAAGGTTAGAGTTCATCAGAAATATAGAATTTTAAAATGTGAGTTCAACTGAATAAATATGAATTTCTGTAGGAACTAAGGAATCAAAATACATATTTAAAGATTGCAATATATGGTCATTATTTTTAGAGTATCTGATTAAACCTGATAGGTTTTCCAGAAATGAAAAAAATCAGCTCTAAAACCAAAGCTGATTTTTAGAAAAATGTGAAAATGTAACTCAGCCCTATCCATAAATCTTTCTCTAAACCTTTATCTTACAGAGTCACTTTAAAAGAATATAACTATTGAAAAATATAACTGCTATGTTAATGTTGTGAAATAAGTTAAAACATCTTAAAATATGAATACTGTAGTTTAAAACAAAGAAACTGGGGGAAGGAAAAGTAGAGAAAGAGATGTCAATTCCAGTCCAAAGCTTTATTTGCCAAGTTTTCTTAGAATGACTTTTACCAATTTATGAATTCCTGTCAACAGAATGTATAAAGGAAATACTGAAAGACTGTTGTCTAAAGTGCCATTATTGACTGCTACTGTGATGCTACTGTAATGTAATAAATTAGGAAATTGTTGCAAAGTGCTGTTTTTGCCTTCAAATTTTGTGTGTCTTGAAAACTATGTTGTTAAAGGTATTGAGTGTGCAAATCCTGGGCACGCTTGGCATGAGATCATCGGATTTTATTTTTACAAAATTGTAACTATGCAAGTGTGTTTATTGAAAGGACATAAACTAAAAAGAAGTTACGGGAATTTTAAAAGTGGGATGAGAAAGTTATTAGGATGAAAAATTTAGAAAAGTTGTGGCAAAAGAAGTTGTGGAAAAATAGTAGAAAAATGTTTTATGAAACATGTTTTAAAAAGTTATGAAAAGGAAGTCATGGAATTTTTTTTTAAAAAGTCATGGGAGAAAAATAAAAGCAGGCCTCTGTCAGCATAACCCTGGAGAAGTGGGGCTGGAGTCTCCACCCCCACCATGTATCAACCACCCCTTCCCAGTCACCCCTTTACCATTAGGGTAGCAAGACAAGACCCCGTCTAATGGAAGGAGACAAACAGACCATTTGCCACCTTGACTAGGGCTGAGTCCTTAAATTTCTGGACGGTGATGTTTGCTATTTAAGAGCCAGAGGCTGGTGGAGCTGGTTTGTTTGGAGGAGGCCTGATGGCCTCTCTACTCTCACCAAAGCAACTTTTCCCTCAGGAGGCTCCCATCTTCTTATTCAGAGAGGCAGCTAAGGCAGGACAGTGGGGCTAAGTGTAGAGTAGGCGAGGGCACGGGCTGCTGGGGTGGCCCCCCTTCCCCAGTGTACATATACTATCTGTGTAACGTTTTGTATATTCTGGGGGGTAGGACCACCGCCTGTATCATACCTAGCAGAGGCTGGAACTGGCATATGAGGAGGAGATTCTAATTGTTATTTACAGCTGGGAAACTTATTTATTGATACCATAGGACAGAGGAAGGAGGTGGGGATGGGGTCCTGCCTTCCTTGGTGGTGCGACTCCTGTTTATTTTGCTTTTCATTTCGGAATAAATGGATTTAGCCATACTGCGCAGCCTGGTGGGTTCCCATTTCCCTCACTGGGTCCTGGAGTTTGTGCCACTGAACGAGGAGCCCCAGAGTGTTTGAGCATGTCCAGCTGGGCTGTTGGGGACCTTCTAGGCCTGTTAACTGTATGCTGTCTGGTGACACCTGGTGAATTTCATGGGGCCTGCTATGGCACCTAGCCCTGACAGCCAACAGGCTCAGAAGCCTAATCTAGCAGTGGCCAGGAAGACAGACACTAGCACCCAAGGCCACTGACTTCCATCCACCCCAGGCGTCTTCCGTTCCATCCCCTTGACTCCCTCTCCTGTCTGCACCCGGTGGCCTATTCTGTCTGTCCCTCCAGAGTGCTGGCTGTCCCACAGGCTCCTCCAGGCTGAGTTCATGGCCCTGCCCCCTAGTGGCCAGAGCCTGCTTCACAGGATAAGAGCCAGCTAAGTTCCAGGGGCTTTTCCAGGAAAAGTGTCCCTTGGAAAGGCCTTTTCACTACTCCCAATAGCACCCTAGAAATGGCTTGGCCTTTTCCCTCCCCTGAGCTCCACAGAGAACACAACCAGCAGAGGACACATTCCCCGTCATCCAGAAATGGGTTTGATTCTCAGCTGAGGGATGGCAGGACTGATAGAGACTGTCAGGCCACACGGCTGCCTGCACAGCACCCCCATGCACCCCCATGCTTGCTCATATATATATATGAGTATTTATAGATATTAATAGAACACGGCAGGGCATACCACAGAGGGGCACAAGTTTTCAGCAATGGTCACACCTGGATGTGTCAGCTCAGCACTACAACAGACTAAGTCACAGATGAAGGGGGCTGGCTTTGGGGCTGGGGAGCCACTGTCAAGTCACAGGACACCCACCCAGCAGGCTTGGAAAGGGAGGCCTCTGAGAAGAGGAGGATCTGTTTAGAGGTCAAAGTGTGGCTGGGGCTCTCAGGATGGATGGACTTGCCTGACCCAATCAGCTGGCAGTTGGAGAGAAGCAGAGAGAAAATAGGAGAGAGAAAAACAAGCAGAGAGCTGGTGAGGCAAGCGCAGAGCACT